AACTTTGTTTCCAGATAGAGTACAGACTGAAATGTGAACAGAACAGCATCATTAAGACTTTAAGAAGGAAATATAGGAGAATAGCTTGTCTTTGAATTAGGGAAAGATTTCTTAAATAAGATGTAAGTGGTACCAACAATATGAAAAATATTTTGACTACGTAAATTTAAGAATTTCCATTTTCTGAAACAACATAAGTAATGTACAGTTACAGTTACAACCCAAAATATACTGATAAAACATAAGACTAACAGACTAGTATCTGGAATATTTAAAGAACTGCAGATCAATAAGAACATGATGAAGAACCTAAGGGAAAGTGAGTAAAAGATACAAATGGCATTTCACAAAATAGAATAAGTTATAAGCTTGATTGGATACCATTATATCCCTGTCAAATGGATAGAAGACTGACTATGATAGTTTGGTGGTATGTATGCTCTGATTTCACAGGGATATCCATTGGCACAACCACTTTGAAAATACATTGATGCCATCTAGTAATAGTGAAGATGAACCTCTCCTTTTATTCATCAACTTTACTCTATCCTAGAGAGCAGTGGTTTTCAAACTTTTGACCATAACCCACATTGTAAAATTTTACAGTGAGACTCAGCACATTCATGTGTATGTATTTTTAGATCAGAAAATCATCAACAAACACTACTTATTCTTACTGCTTGTGCTACATTCTAAAATGTTCTAAAATGTTCTTTTACTTAAAGAGTGGCTGTCACCAGTTTCTAAACAGGTTTAAGAACCAACTGATGGGACGTACCATCAAAAATCTCTTACACATATACACAGGTAGACATGTACAAAAATGTTTGTATCTGTATTGTTTATGATAGCCCAAAATTGGAAACAACCCAAATCTCACTGATAGGAAAGTAAATAATGAAGCACGATTTAATATTATAAGCAATGAAAATGAGGTGCAATTTACACATTAAAATATGGATGAATCTTAGAAACATAATGTTGAGTGAAAAAAGTCACAGAAGTTTATAAGGATGTAGTTTTCAAAAAACTCAACGATAATGTTTATGATAATAACCACAATCTATGGAGGATTACACTCTCCTAGACTTTTAAATTTTGCACGCGCGTGCACATGCAGACACACACATTTAGATTTACTTTGGATCATTTTGGTTTCTCTGAGAGAAAATATGTTATATAATGCTATAATGTATATTTTAACTAGATATGGTAAATTGTTGTCATATTAGTTACGTAGAAAATATAAATTATAGGTGGGAAATAATTGTGAGCTCAGCTATTTTATTTCCAGAATAACCCCCCTCTACACACACACACACACACACACACACACACACACACACACTTGTTAACATCTCTATTTTTTTTGTATACATATATTTATTAACATACCTATGTAATTTTAATATAGATATTCTAGAATCTGCTCTCACCATTAAAAGCATTGAGCCTTAGGAAGTCAGATAAATTATTGATTATGCCTTTGAAATGAACAGTCAGAGCTGACCGAAGTTTTAGAACCCTCTATGCTCGTTGCTGCAGACCAGCGATTTTCAACCCTTTTCATCTCATGGGACACATAAACTAATTACTAAAATTCTGTAACACACCAAAAAATATGTATTTTGTCAGTCTGACAAAAAAATAGATATAATTTTGATTCATTCACACAGGACGGTTATTGTTGTGTTGGCTGTTGTCCTTTTTTTTAATTTGACAATCTAAGGGAAAAGAGGTCAGTGCCCCTGACTAAATAGTCAGGTAGAGCATGTTGTAAATACTCTTCCAGCACTCACTTGAAAGCCACTGCTGTAGACTAGTAAGCCCACAGCACTTTCAGACAAAAGCCTGGGGCAGGCTGTGTATCAGAAGTTGTGCAAGCACTCAGATAATTTCTTTTGGCATTACAAAGCTGAAAGTACTTGGTGGCAGTGCAATTTATTTACCAATCGAATAAATAGAAAACCAGGTCAAGAATAAGATGGTTTTAAAAATCAATGTTTTATAGCTAATTATCTTCATGTATGGCTGGCTCACCCTTGACATTTTTTTCTGGCTTTGAATTTAAAATTAAAGTAAGAGGCAATTGTTTTTAGGATAATGTGGTTTTCTAACTTCAGCTTTTTTATTTTAAACTGCTTTTACTTCACAACATTTAAAATAAAAGAAAATCCCAAATTACTGTTTGAGCTGGAATATTAGTTTTAGACTAAATACCTATTTCTATGCTGTCTGTTGGTATTTTTCCAGCTAAATTCTTCTCCTAATAGTTATAATGTCAGAGTAAGATATGTTTTAAATGAGATAGGCTTTTAAATGAAAATCAATAGTGCATTTTCCATAAAACAAAACAGCTTTAAGAACTACTTCAGACCTTATTTCTAAATATAAACATTATTTTTATAGGTCTTGGAAAGTAATTTTGACTTTTTATTGCCCAATGGAATACTTAAAAGGTGTGGTAATTATATCTGGTAACAGGTAGTCTATTAAATGTTCTCATTGAAATGCATCCAGTCATTAAAGTGGAAAATTCACATCAGAAAATGTTATACTTTAATAAGTTTTAAAAATACGCTATATGATATATATGTTTTTATCTATCACCATTTCCTTTTATTCACTTCCCTCAAGCAAGAAGAACAGTTATAATTCCTGAATATTTGCTTATGTTTTTCTTCACAATTCGCTCTTCCTACACCATCCCCTTTATACATACATACATGGGTGCACATGCACACACATACAGATATACACACTGGTCTTTGAAACCATGCTTTTTTTTTTTTTTTTAATCTTGCCTTCTATCTTCCCAACTTATGTTGATTTTTATAGTAGTTGTTGTCTTATAGCTGGCACTTAACACATGTTACCATAACATGATGCAACATGGTGGAAAAACATAGAATATAACTAGCTTTCAAATCTTTCCTCTGCCTCTTAGTGGACAAATACTTAACCATTCTGTGCCAGAATGGAGAATACAGAATCCATTTTGCAGATTGGAGGGATTGCACATGAAAGCTGGTATTTCATAGCTTAGCAAAAATAATGTGTTAATATGTCATGAACTGTGAAGAGTATGAGAATTTACCTTGTTAGCCTGCCAGCAGCCCATGGATATTGGCAGAAGACAAAAGACTGCAGGGTTAGAGACAACGAAGTTTATTACAGCAATAGCAATATCCTGAATAAACAATTTGTAGATTCCTGAGCCCAAATTCCCACAGGGAAATGTTAAGAGTGCCAGGTTTAAAACCTACATGCTTAGTAGTTTGTGTTACTAGAGAAAAATTCTGAAATTAGGGAACCCAGTCTTTTTAAAGAGATAAGACTGCCCCCCCTCCCCAATTTACCATACTGAGCAGCAAATAAATCCATTTGCTTAAGCTGTAGATACCACCTCTATCTTCCAAGATTCTTCATTATACAAATATCTTTGAAAAGACAGTTTGAAACAAAGATGCTTGACTAGTACTTATATCTTAGAGCGCTTAGTCTTACACTCTCCTACTTGAAAATCTGCAATTGTTTTCCTTTCCTTAAAAGAAATCCAACTGGCCTAGAAGACCATAAATACTAAATGATGAGGCCTCAGCAGACCCCCTGACCTCACTTGACCTCACTATACTGGCCACCTATCTCTCAAACCTACCAGCAGCCTTTGCATTTGTTCCTTCCCAAGGTCGTCACTGAGCTAGCTTCTTGCCATTCAAAATTCAGCTTGAATCAAAGCAGTGAGTGAGGCCTTACTGACAGCCTAATGTAAAGCAGCTCCCCAGGCATTCCTTCACACCACTCTATGTTGTTTTTTTAATACTACAATATTTATCAAACTGTTTATTGTTTATTGCCTGTCTTTGCCTTCTGCCCCACCCTATCACACAGAACGTAAACATGTTTTAGAGCTATACAAATATCTCGCCTTTAATCTCATTTACTACTCAGTCTCTCAGTATTTATTGAATGGATGTGTGGATAGTTGGATATGAATGGATGAATTAATATTCTCTCTATGCTTTCTGTTTCTCCTCTTTGCCCCTTGTACTTTCCATTATTTTGGTTAATAATATTAAACTTTATTATTTGATTTCTAATGAAAAACTTGCACTATTTCTGTGGTTAAAAAATATCACAGTAAGGGAGGAATTAAAATTTTTCCCAAAATAAGATAAGCCACCTACTTGTTAAGTTTAATTATACACTTTTTATTTAATACTATTAGTGATAAGCTAGCAATTAGATAACCTGTTTGGTTTCACTGGTACTGAGAATACAAACTCCATAGGAGATTGTAATACAATGCCGTGCTGTTTGTTGGCACTTAGAAAAGTCCCAATTTATCTGCTAATTCCCATTAATGCCACATGAGAGGCGTTTCTTGATTTGTATAAAACTTAGAAAATAAGAAATTAACTGATCACATATCTATTGAGATCTTCTTATGGTTTACATGTTGTTATTTGTTTGGGTGAACAGTTAAAGGCCTGCCTTTGAAATGCCAAATCTTTCTTTAGTCACCCTTATGACACTTCTCTATGAGAAGAATTGTTAAATGATTGTAGTATAAAGGAGCCATTTCAGAATTTCAGCTCCTTTTTATTATTTGCTCAAGTATTTTCCTTGTATTCGATAGTTTACTAGCAGAGGAGGTATGGGAAACTGAAATAAATTCTCTAGACATTCCTTTGGACATATATATAGGAAAACAGTTTTGATTTGTAAATTAAGTAGTTTTTATTTTTAGTTTCTGTCTGCTTTCTGTTAGTTGATTCCACTAAGATGCAGATACTTTAAACATAACAGTTATATTTATAGATACTTGACATATTTAACAAGGGTTTGTGTGCTGATCTTTTAAAAGACTGTGCTAGTAATATAAGTTGCCATTATTTAAAAGATATTTAATCACAGTTTTACAGATTAATAATTTTCCATTTTCTTTGTGGAACTACTGTGGTTAAAATTGATCATTTTTCAAAATTAATTTGTTATAGCAAGCATTAAAGGAAAATGTCAAAAAAAGAGAAGCAGAGGAAAAGCAAAAACGTGCCAGAATAGCCAAAGAATTGGCAGAGAAAGAAAGATTCGAACGCCAGCAAAAGAAAAAGCGCATATTAGAAATGAAGACTGGTGAGTACTATCAAAGTTGCTATTTATAGCATGTAAGATTTATACTGGTTACTGTATTAGTAGTTTCATATACTTCAGTGGAAAAGGAAGCTTTGGTTACTTATTTGTATTGCTAAATCATAGAGCAGTTCATTTTTTTATGGGCTTTCCCCTTTAGTTTACTAACTAGTAGTGTTTTCATTCTTACTTTGGTTGTAAGTGATTTTGCTTCTCTGGTGTACTGTAGTTCCAGATTTCACATTTCTTTGACTACTGTTTCAACAAACAATGTATAATAACTTATGTCAATTAATAATTAAACAACTTGCCAGCTGGGCGTGGCTCAGCAGTTGAGCCTCGACCTAGGATCCAGGCGATCGGGGTTCGATTCCTGGTCAGGGCACATGCCTGGGTTGCAGGCTCGATCAATGACTCTCATCATGGATGTTTCTATCTCTCTCTCTCCCTCTCCTTTCCTCTCTCTGAAATCAATAAAGATATATTTAAAAAATAATAATAATAATAATTAAACAACTGTAGGAAACTGTGGGAAACTCTACAGGCCAAGTAATCCTGTTTCTTCAACAAAATATCCTGAGGAAAAAAGTGATGGGAGGGAAACTTGATGATTAAAAGAGAGTTAAAAGACACATCAACCAAGACATCAAAAGGAACTTAAGTATAGGGTGGGGCAAAAGTAGGTTTACAGTTGTCGTATAGAAATTAACACAATATTTAATAAATAATGATACAAGACTAAACTGCTTCCATTACTCACAACCATAAACCTACTTTTGCCCCACCCTGTATACTCCAATCCAAACACATGTAGGAAAAAACAGTCTGAAAATTTTGAATACTCTTTATTTTCTTATAAGAGTGTTACTGTGAATATGTTTCAAGGTCTCTTTTAGAGACTCACTGAAATTTTATAGATTTCAGTCAAAATCATCTAGTGTGACTGGAAAGTAGGTGGCTAATAGATGAAACAAGATTGGCTATATGGAATAATTGCTAATGTTGGGTAATGGGTACGTGGAGGGAAGGGGATGTTTACTACACTATTTTCTCTACTTTGGGATATTTTAAAATTTGACTTTGGGTAGTGGACACACATTGCAATCAATATATAGCTCATGTATCATAGAAATGTACACTTTAAACCCATATCCTATTAACCAATGTCACACCAATAAATTTAATTGAAAAAAAAAGCTCTTAGAAAAATTTAAAAAGAAAAAATAGCAAAATTACAGCTTTACAGAGATATGTATGTATATTTTCCAAAGCTAAAAGATACCACAAACTTAGAAGCAAACAGATTAAGTAAATTATAGTTATATTTCACCCCCTGAAAATTCTGGCTCTTCTACCTCCAAGCCACTAAGGATTGCAGAGGCCTTTAATTAAAATCCATCAACTTCACTGCTAAATTACCATAGTTTACAATTCAGGGCTGCAAATTCACCTAAGGTTTCCCGGGGGGTACACAGAGATGCCTTCTTGCCTTCTCTCCTTTCATTTTTACAGACATATTTTATCTTTAATAAAGCTAACTGAGTACCTTAATGTATCGCACATGTTTCTTCCATGGGGAAAAAAGTCATCCAAGCACAATTTCTTTAAGAGTGCACTTGAAATTCAAGAAGTGTTCTGAGAAACATCTTAAAGTGTAAACAAAAATGGAGATCAGAAAGGTTTAGCATTGATTTTTAAAATATGCTTCTGAAAGTCACTTTAAAACAATTTATTATTGCCTAGTTTACCAAACATTCTGGTATTTGAACATTAGCTCTTTTAGTGTTGGTTAAACAGTCATCTAGACAGTTCCTTGATGGCAGACCTGCTGTATTGTTTGTTGTGGATTTTGCCTGAAGATTTATAACACAGAGCCTCTCAGCAGTTCTTTGTTCCATTATCTAGAAAGTTAAAACCTGATAGGAAGCAAACATTTTATTGAAACTTCAAATCAATGTAATCTTATTAAAGATTTTATTTAAATTTATATTTCTCCTGATGAAAAGTTCCAATTTTATGAATAACTGTTTTGTTTTTCCAATTTTAATACTTCTGTATTATAGAAAACACCTAAAAAGTAATAGATCTTAAGACTGTCACCCCATAATCCTCCTATCTAAAGAATTACTATTACTATTTTGGCACATTTTTCTTTTAGTTTTAAATCTTTCTGCCTTTATTTATTTATTTATTTATTTATTTATTTATCGTTCAAAATATTTCAGATGTCCCTTTTTCTCCCCTTTCCCCATTGAGTTGTGTGAGTTCTTTGTACACTTTAAATCTTTCTGCCTTTTAATAGCAGCTGTATGATCTAGTGAATATGCAGTTTAGTGTCTTGCTTTATCTTGCTGAACTTTTTAAATGTTTTGTGTTCTAAGTTGTGATTCTTCATATCTATGTCATCGCATCCCCTGGATGTGTGATTTCAAATTGAACTTGCATTAGTCAGCAATGAAGTCACAGAACAATAGTTATTTCCATTCATTTAATGAGATACATTTATGCATAAATAATTGAAAATGTAATTATTAGGACATGTAATAAAAAAGGATAGATATCTGTAAGACAATGGATTTCCAATAGTAGCCTAATTTCACCAGTTTTTAACAGTAGTTTATAAATGAGACTTGGTTGAGTATTCTCATTTTTTAAGATTTTTGTTAATTTAATATATTAAAAAGTTTTTTGTTATCTTTTGTATTTCTTTGATTACTACTGAAGTTGGACATTTTTCAGGTATTTAGTCTACTTGTATTTCTTTTCGAATTGTGTTGTTTCAGTCTTTTTCTTATTGATTTACACAAGTTAGCTCATTATGTATTAATATTTACCTTTTAACTATGTTTTCTCAATTTGGCCTTTTATTTTTCTATCTTGACATAAAGTGTATTTTTTTATGAGGATGTTACTTTTCTAGTCTTAATTATTAAAATAGATTTGGATGTTTTTTATTTTTAAAATAAATTTAAGGAAATGTTTCTGTTGTATCATTTGTTAATCTTAGAACTCATCTTATTTGACCTCTTGGGTTATTTTATAAAACCTTTTCCATACTATCTCTTTCCAAACCTGGTATGCCAGTTATTATAGATGGGTCTCAAATAAATATAAGGCTCTCACTTGATAGGCATTTCCAAAGCTTTAATATGCTGGGGTTCATATATGCCATACACTTTGATATTCTCTGGGAGAATATTTTTCAAAGGAGAGTCTCGGTAACATTGATTTATATAAATTATATTCAATAAATACTTCAAAATAATGTCTTTAAAATAAATACCATATATTATGTGGCAAGATTTAATCAACGTTACTTGATATAAGATGAGACAACATTTGATACAACAGAAAGCTGTGAGTAGTAAGCTACTTTTGAAACACTTTCTCTCTTTCAAAAAACATTTGAACAGCCCTCGCCCTGTGGCTCAGTTGGTTGGAGCATCATCCCATACCCCAGAAGGGGCTCGATTTCTGGTCAGGGCAGATACTAGGTTGTGGATTTGATCCCCAGTTGGGCAAGTATGGGAGGCAACCTATTGATGTTTCTCTCTCTTTCTGTCTCTCCATCCCTTCTTCCATCCCTCCCTTCCTCTCTCTCTAAGATCAATAAAAACATATCCTCAGGTGGGGATTTTAAAAAATTAAAAAACTAACAAACATTTGAATATTTGGGAAATGAACTTTTATTTATTTTGGAGACTGGAATTTAAAGAATCTAGGAATAAATTCCAAATTTCATGTAATTTTCTCACCGAAGTGAAAGACCTCTTCTAAAATTTCAGTAAATGATGATTATTCTGAATAGTCTTTTGTTTTCTTTTAAACATAACACGATTATTAATATAGAAAAACAAAGTATTTAGTCTCTTATTATTAATGTAGCTGCTACATTATAAGTATCAAATATATTATTACGTATTTGTCGATACCTTTTCCATATTTAAAAGTAGTACAAATATGCAGTCACCTTTTCCTTTCCATATTAGATGTAGAATATGGTTTATGTCAAATCATGATTTTTATAACATTTGGAGGCTTTGTGAAGTAGAAGTTACAAAGCAGTATGTCTAATTAGCACTTATTACTGAAAATATTCTTAGGCAAAATATCAGTTTTTGACACTTTTAACAGATTCATTGAGTTTGATGCATTTCTGAAATTTGACAAATACGCTCCTCAATAAAGGCATTGTATTGTTATGAAAAATGTAAGTGCTGTGGTCTTCCAGTATTTTTTATTGGTATAGCAAAGAAATGTAATAGCTCGACCACTTTTGTTTCTTTTATTCATCAACAAATAGTTTTTTTCTGTATGCTGGATTACAGTGATAAATAAGATCCCTGCTGCCATGAAGTTTAAAATTCTAATGAATGAATCAGACAAACAACATGTATAAGGTAATTACAGGTTATAAAAAGTTATAGGAAGTAAAATAGGACAGAATAATGAGAGGGAGATGGGGACGAGTTGGGGTGGTAACAAAATTTGTCTTGGTGAATGAAGCAGGGTATTAATGCATACCAAACGTACTAATTTAAAATAGTAGTTATATAAAACTACTTAGAAATTGATAGGAAAACCAGTCATTTTAGTATAGAACATGGTACAGTTGACCTTGAACAACGCTGAGATTATGGCCTTGGTCCCCACGCTGTTGAAAATCCACGTATAATTTTTGACTCCCCCAAAACTTAGTTGTTCCTCAATATCTGCAGGGGATTAATTCCGGGACCTGCACAGATGACAATGTCCATGGATGCTCAAGCTCCCTATAAAATATGGTGTAGATCAATGCATACAGCTGGCTCTCAGTTTCCATGCCCTCTCAACAGCTGATTGGAAACAGTACAGGTGTTTATTGAAAAAATAAAGCCCACCTATAAGTGGACCCACACAGTTCAAGCCTATATTGTTGTTCAGGGGTCAACTGCACCGCTCTTATCTTTGTGGAAGTTGTCAGCCTAGCATTCCTATTCTTTAAAAAATGTGGAAGGTGAATT